CGCAGAAATCCTGATCGTCGCACGCGCCGCCGTTGCTCGTGCCCGTGCACTTGGTCGCCGCACCGGCAAATCCGTCGGCAGGGCAGGCGCTCGACGTCCCTGTGCACTTTTCGCTCACGTCGCACTCGCCCTTGGACGCGCGGCAGACCGTCGTCGATGGCAAGTACACGTCGACGCAGTTGCCCTTGCCGTCGCAGACGTCTTGTCCGTCGCACGCGCCGCCATTCGAGGATCCGCTGCACGACTTGTCCTTGGAGGCAAACTGGTCCACGGGACAGGACCCCGACGTCCCCGAGCACGTCTCGGCAACGTCACAGGCACCCTTGGAGACGCGGCAGACGGTGGTCGACGGCAAGAACTTGTCAATGCAGCTGCCAAAACCATCGCAGTAGTCTTGGCCATCGCACGGACCACCGTTGCAGCTGCCCGAGCACGCCATCGTCGGAGGTGCATAGCTGTCGATAGGACATGCGCCCGAGGACCCCGTGCACATCTCGGCGACATCGCACTGGCCACCGGAAGGCCGACACACGGTCGTCGACGGCTTGAAAGCGCTGATGCATTCGGCCTTGTCGTTGCAATAGTCGTTGGCATCGTCGTCACAGGCGCCGCCGTTCGTGCAGCTCTGGCCCGGACACTTGGCACCGGTGGGCTTTTGCGTGTACGCGCAGCGCCCGCGCGTGCACACGGGGGCGGCGTAGCACGTGATTTGCGGACAGTCGGTGTCGCACGAGCACGACTTGGCAATGTCTTCGAGGAGCTCCATGCCGAACGAGGCTGCGACGGCGTTGGCAAGCGCGAGAATCCAAAGCAGCTTCATCGTAGCCAAGCAAGTTGGAGAATGATATCAATTGCAATGGACGTCGATGGCAGACCTTCGGATCGAACACCATCCTACGCACCTCAGAGGCAATGTTCCAAGACGGCTGGACCACCCAGCGTCGAAAGGATCTATTTTTCCACCAACTTCGCCGTCGAAGATTTGCAAGTCGTTCGTTTGTGAACCTCTATATCTCGAATCAACTTCTAAATCTCTAAATCTATGGTCAACCAACACTACTGACTGGACACTCGGGCTCAATGTGCTGTGACTTGAGGTGCTGTGGAACATTCTGTCAAGGTTGGCTGCCAGCGGTCGTAAAGCCTTTTGGTCGCTGTTGGCCGGACCTCTCGGGGCACATGCAAACCGTCACAAGATAGTACCAGTGCTAGAGAGAAATCGGGGCTTTCATCCAGTCGTGTTCTACTCCACGACAGTCGACCACTTGACAGTCACAGGTCAATTTAGGACACATCGTCCTGGAGTAGTGATCCATTTATGTGGACTACGTAGCCAACCTTGACAGAATGTTCCACACCGCCCTCAAGTGACACCGTGTGCGTCCACATTGTCCAGTCAGTGGTGGTGTTGGTTGACCATGTAGAGATTTAGAGGTTCAGAAACAAACGACTCGAAAATCTTCGACGGCAACGTTGCTGGAAGAAGAGATCATGACCGGATTCGTGATCGGCGTAGTCTAACCGCGCGCCGATTCTTGCCAGCATTGCTACTTGGATCTCTTCAGCCTACTCATGGGAGCCAAGAGTCATTCGAGGTGGCCACAGCTACCAAGCATGCGATATGCATCACTGGGCTAGTGTTGTAGACTCTGTCGTTGATGGGTTTAGGATTGATTGGCTACTTCGCTGTGATTGCAATTTCAACAAATCAATCAACACCGCACCAGTACCTCGTGTTCGATACCGTCGTCACCCGATAGGTTTGTGGCGAGGCTATGGCATGTAGTTGATCACGGCGACGCGGTCTCAGGTGCTGGCGCGCTGCTATGGCCAAAATGACGTTGCTGGATCAGTCGATGCTGCACTCAATGGGATCGTCCCGGTGCGTGGTTAGAACCAAATCAAGCGCGCGATATCTGTCGAGCCATGGCGCGCGTCCGCGCCATTCTATTCGTCTTGAAGATTTTTCGGGCAATGTAGATGCGTCCGTGGCATCCGCACCTGGTCTACCAGCTCGCAGAGAGCGCTAAGAATCG